CCCTTGGGCGAGAGTGGAAAGTGAAAAATACTAGTTTTTCTTATCAGAATTGTTTGGACGTCAACATCGTGGATTTCAATACGCGTTTAGATGATAGCATGGTGAATGAAGAGCACAATCTTTAGTTCTAATCAAGGATGAAGATCCCAAGGCCAATCTCAAATGGGGAATCATAACAATCCAACTCGAAGAAAATATGGCCAGAATGGTAAAGATAAGGCTCAACATTCCTAATGTCATAAAGAAAGACCTCATCAAGTTCCTTAAATCCAATGTCGGTCTTTTTTGTCATTTCCTCATATGAGATGTACGACACCGGAACTAGTGTAGCTTCCCATCAATTGAACATCGACCCCTTGGTATATTTTGTAGCCCAAAGGAAGAGATGTCAGTCTCTTGAAAAGGTCAAGGTTTCTAGGAACATTGTTCGAGGAATCCTCCAGACTAATTTTTTTTGGAGCTAAAGTACACTAAATGGTTGTACAATGTTATATGATTAATAAAGCATCAAGGAAATATAGGATGTATGTTGATTACACAAACCTCAACAAAGCATTCCCCATGGATTCATACCCATTACCCATCATTAATAAACTAAGACAATTTTTTCTATAGACAAGTTTCTTTTATTAAAAACTCTAAAAGCTTTATTATAAAGGGAATATCCTAAAAATAGTCATTCATCAGGTTTAACATCAAAATTTCCAAGATTATCCTTCCTGTTATTAAGAACAAAGCATTTGCATTCGAACAGATAAAGGTGAGAAATATTAGGCTTTCTTACTTTGTATAACTCATACAGTGTCTACTTTAAAATTAGTCTTATCAAGACACAATTCATCATGTAGCAAACAATGCTGACTACGTCACCCAAAAAGTGCTTAGGTAGGTCAATCTCATTGAGCATTATCCTCGCTAGCTCTTTAAGATATCTATTATTCTATTCCACTATCCCATTTCGGTGTGTTGTCCATGGAGTCGAAAAAGTGTCCTCGGTTTTATTCTCGTTACAATAGTCCTCGAAATCCACATTTTGGAATTCACCACTATGATCATGAATGCAATGTTTTTATATCTTTCTCATTCTTAATAACCTTGGCTAATCTCCAAAAGGAAACAATCGCATATCTTTTATGACATAAAAATAATGTCCACGTATAGCGATAATAGTCATCTAGAACTACAAGGGCATAATAATTTCTGCCAAAATTCATGCTCCATGATGGTCCAAAAAGATTCATATGTAACAGTTGTAAAGACTTATTTGTAGAAACAATATTTTTTTATTTAAAAAGACATCTTTACTTAATTTACCTTTAAGCACGCATCGATAACCCATGTTTTTCAAAATGTAAGTTTGGTAAAGTGATTACTGAATCGTCAGGGAGCAACATGTTCATATGATTCACGTGTTGATGTAAGCATAAAGGTCAATAATGTTATTAGAACTTAATACTTGTATCAAATTATCTATTAATAATGATAATGATTTTTTTTACCATGTTTATTTTTTTAAAGTAATAAAGTCCCTAAAATAGCTAATTTGTTTGATGAAGAATTGAATCTCACTCTAATCTTTGTCGAAAACGAAGAATTGAATCTCAAACCCCGTCCCCAAACGGATTTGAATATCTCCAATATGTTCTTAATTCATGCAGAGTAGTCAATTTTTTAATAGACCTAATCTTTTTCTTTTCCAACATCATATTACATTACAAATATATTTAAGACATTTCAAATAATAAAGTATAAACTAAAATATCAAAGCATTAAAGATTATCCATACAACTAATATTTCAAATTATTAAAATTAAATAATAAAATATAAAATTATATAAATGAGACGATTTCAAGACGAATTCGGGTACTATTATCCACATTATTCAACCCATCCTTATATTTTATAATCAGAAAAACCTCACACTCATACTCAAATCCAATAAAAACAGAATTTCTCTATTAAATTCATGACGGATTTGAGTAAATATATGCAAATATAATTTTGGTTGTTGTTAGATGTCAATCTTGCCTTAATTTAATCATGTATAACGGGCATTTTTCAAACTCTTTTGTGTTGATTTGTTGATATTGCTACTTGAAAGCTTGTCATTCTTTAATTGTTTGAAAATACCTTTGGTACCTTTGATTTGTGTGTTATTTTGCAGAAAATAGGGATTAAGTCATTAAAGTGTGAGACATAAGGAAATTGAGCAAGGTTGTCAAAGGAAAAGAAGAAGATTAGTAAGTTCGTTGGGCGAACTTGCTGGCGAACATTCGCTTTGTAAACAGTTGGCGAAGAACCAGCGAATGCTCCCAGATTTGAGGCAGTAGCAAAAGGCATCTAAGTTCGCAGTGCGAACAAGGCAGCAGAGTTTTGTTGTGGCAACGCTTCATCGAAGAACCAACAAAGCATCCCAGACTTTAAGCAGTAGCTAAAGGAGTATAAGTTTGTTGTGCGAACTTGTAGGTGAAGTAGTTCGTAGGGCAACGAACTTCAGAGTTGTTTCAAAGGCGGTTTAACTATGCAGAGGCACATCAGGTGCCTAATTTGATGTTCGCTAGGCGAGTAATCTGTTCGTAGTGCGAACATGACAGATTCTGGTTACTTTATAAGTACTTTTGACCATTTTTTAGGATCATAACATCATCTTACACACCAAAACCTATTTTTCTAAGTTTTCTTCACCAAAGAGTGAGATTTTTCACATAGAAGCTGGATTCGTATCCAAGTTTGATTCTTCGACGTGGATGCTCATTTATATCCTCCCGAAACTTGTGAAGCAAGCTACCATGATTATGAGTAGCTAAATCACTTTTGTGTCAAGATTAGAGGTAGTTAATCTTGTTATTATGTATTTCTTTTGATCTCTTGTATCTGAACAAGGTTTATGATTAATAGATGATGAAGATATTTCCTTTTAATAATGTATTTATGGTTTGAATCACTCTAGACATAAATTTTTCAAGTCTTGACCTAATTTCTTCATCTATTAACCAACAAACTTTAGACATAGATTTGAAAGTTAATATTCACTTTGTATTGATCTTTATGTTTATTGTTTCAATTTTTATTTCGAGAAATCATCTAGCGATTAAAACAACAATATTCATGAAGCTGCTTTAGACATAAACAGATTCGCGAGGATACGCAATTGTATTAATCGAAACTAAGTTCACATACTTGATTAATCGGATACGTATGAAAAAGATTAACGAAATCTAATCTTGACATGCTTTTCTCAAAACAAAACATCTTTGCCCTATCTTACTCTTTGCAACAAACTTATGTTACAAAACAAGGAATCTTCTGAAAACTCTTTACTTAGAATGTTAAACTATTGAACGGCTAGCATCGAGATATCACTTACAACCCCCGTGGATACGATAAAACACTCCCGAAATACTTTTCAACAGTTGTCATGCCTACATTGTATTGACTATTTTTTTGTATGATACATTAACACTAAATATTTATAATAAAAGAATTTTTGGCTAAAATAGTTTGTTAGTCTTTGTAAGTTAGTGATGGTCCCGATAATTTTTTTTGTCTGATTCACTATATTTCATTTTTTCGTGCGTTTTAGTCCTAAAACCAAAATCCGCATGAGGGTTTTAGTCCTTAAAGACAAAATTCAGAGGTTTTCTACAGATTTTCATATAGATTTTGACTTTAGGGACTAAAACGCATGAAAAAAATGAAATAAAAGACACATACCAAAATAAAAATTACACAAACTAAAATAAAAAACTCGCTAAGACCAAAAATACATTTAAGTAATTTTTTTAAATGATAAAATTACCCTCACTGTTTAAAACATGCATAATTTTAATTTACATATAGTAAATATATTGATTTAGCAATGTGTTGATCTAGTTTGAAGTCAAAATTTTATATAAAATATCTTGGCAATTAAACTAATAGCAACTAAAAATTAGGGGTGTTTGCAGTTGGTTTTGAATCGATTTTGAATCAAAGTACTATTCGATTTAAAGATAAATTTACCCGCGATTTAATTCAATTTTGGATGAATAGTAAAAAAAATTCGATCCAATCCAATCCAATTTTATACAATTTAATTTAAATAAATTTTTTAAATATCCAAATTACAAAGTTTAACTTTTATTAATACTTTTAAAGTATCAATAAATAATAATTTGATATAATATATAATATACAATATAAATATTTAATATTACAAAATAAAAAAATAAAAAATAAAAAGTTAAATCAAACTATTAAATAATTTTGAAAAAAATAAATATCATCTAATATTAAATTAAAATTTAATAAAAAAAATCTACATGCGATTTAAATTGGTTTTGAAAAACCAAAATCTGATGCGGCGAAACATCCAAGAAATTTAGGTTTTTGGCGATTTTCAATTCATCATGAAGAAATTTTAATTAGAAAGACATGATTGAATTTTATGACAACTAATTTATCATAGCTTGATATTTTATCCAATACTTAAACATGATGTAAAAGTATTATCTTATCATATCTCTCTCTTAGCTTGACAACCCTTAAGAACTTTGCTTTCATCATGAAGAAATAAAGACATTTTACTTTAATTTATCCACCATTTGCAAATAGAGACCTCTCACCCATAATTTTCTCTTTTGATATTTAGATTTTCAATTCTTCAAAATTAGAATTTTGACTTAAAAGCAATTCTCTAAAAAGTTAGAGGAGAAAAAAACAAAGAAATCCCTCCATTACAAGGAAAACTCTTAAAGTTGAAACCATGACAAAGTACCAATCTGAAATTTCATATTCTCTTCCTTCCAAATTTTGGCAAAGGAGGAAAGTATAAATGTAGAAACAGCATGATGAATTCAAACTTACAATCATGATGGTTAATAGAAACTTATAAAGATGATTGATTACTGTACATGATAAGTGTGGTGGATGTATTCACAATGTGTATGTTTGTATCTTCACTTTCCTTCTGATGCGACGTCGTCGACGGCAAAAAACACGTCCAACCAACCGCAGAAGATCAGGCCGTTTCATCGAATAACATCACCTACATCAAAACAAAAAGCAACTCTCAAAAAGAATATCATAGTCATGCATAACAGCGTCTACATCGAAAATAATGATTGAATCAAGTTCAAACAGCCAGAGACTGATTCCTCTAGTGTTGTCGCGAAAAATAGCATTTTTTCAACTTCTGCTGCGCGACAGTGTAAATGCACTTCTATAGCCAGTATTCGACAACACTATGTATTATATCGCATATCTCATAACAAAAGCAGTTTGTGAAAATTCTGCTACACCACGCACGACAGAGCCGTTATAACAATTTGAAAATCTAAAAGCAGATATTACCTTCCCACAAACAGGACAGCTGTCACTTCTTTCCATCCACTCGTATATGCAACCAAGATGATAATGATGCGAACATTTTGTCATAATCTTCGGATTCTCTTCAGTGTATTCTGCGAGAAAAATATTCCCGGAAAGGTAAGAATCTAACAACGGGTCCTATTATCATAATAGTCAGTATGAAACTGCATGAAATTTATAAAAAAATGTCTACCTTCAAGACAAGTTGGACAAACATCCTCCTCTTCTGATGACGGGTACACAAGAGCGTCTCCAGTTGTAAGTTTTGCTGACGAAAGTCTAACTGAGGACTTGGAACGGTATTCTTTTGATCCATCTTTGCCGGTGGATTCATTCCATTTACCACTCGAATTAAAAGATTCTGCATCTGCATCCACATCACCTCTTAGAAGTTCTGACTCCTCGTTCAAATGACTGGAACCCTTTTCCCGTCTTGAAACTAGTCCGTCGTGTTGTGAGCGGAAATGCCTAGGGTCTGCATCATAAGGGAGCGGTCTTGGAGGAGAACGGTACATTTCAGATAGGGAATTGTCAAGTGATGCGGAAGTCGTCATAGATGCTGCCCCCTGTACAGATGAAGGAAGCACATGCATTTCCCCTCTACGAAATACTAATGAATACTGAAATTGAGGTAGAAAGGAACAAAGTTATTAAATATTGCGGAGTATATTTGTAGTCAATAATACGTAGACACGTCATTCTTAAAAATTGCTTTTTGACTGAAATATTCTCCAAAATGTTGCGTACAAAATAAAAACGCAATTGGTAATTAGTAGTGTTGCATTGTTGAGTAGAAAATGAAAATGAATTATTTTTTTAGTAGTGTTGCATTAGTCTTTGGATTGTCAGGCGCAATTCCACACATTCACACCGTAGACATGGAAATTTGGACCATCTGATCCCAATCCAATAGTCATCGAAGTGTTGTCTGCGTGAATGTGTGTATTGTAATTGTTGCCTGCAGACAATCCAAATTCATTGCATCATAGCGAAGCTTTTCCAAACAAATGTATAGGTTAGAGAAGGGGAGTTAAGAATTTTAGTCTTACAACAGCCAAAATGTTTTGTAGGAAGCAACCGGTGCACACGCAGTTTCTGTATACATGGCTATGTGGATTCATATAATCTTCCAAATCATCAACACTCAAACAAGAACAAATCGAACCCATGATTTCAGCTTCAAAATCTTCCCCTCTTTCAGATCAATACTCTAGCACTAGTCAACACAACAGATCGCCAAAATATCGATTGTGCTACAGTAAAACTACAAATAAAAAGGAGCCCCCGACAGCACTACCCAAAGACCGCGCTTTCCGAAAAAGGAGAGAGGATTCTAAGCTCGCAGAAGATTAAATTCCTCCGCAAACCAGCACCCTCCCTCTTTCGTTCAGATGTTCGGTAATATGAATAAGCAGATTCCAACTTCCTTGATCACCTGTAAACAAACACCAAAATTGCATAAACATTACTCATAAAATAATCTGAAGTAAAAGCTACCGGTTACACAATGTGATTAATCAAAACAACAAATTTCATATAGGTTTGTATAGTGTTGAGCAGTTCACCTAATCCTCATGCTCAAAATCCAAAGCAGCATGCATACAGAACATCATTAACAAACAAACATTAAAATTTAAAACTATCTTAAAACACAAAACACTGTTATTTTCCCTTAACAGTAAAAAAATAGTACTTTTTGCTTTAACTCCAATTCATAGGAGAAGGGACCATGGGTAATCCAGAGTTCATTAAGACTACTGAAGTGCCAATACTTTTGAAAAAATGTGTTTGTTTCTGTGATCGAAACCACCAACCCTACACTTGTGATTTTGATTAATTTATTCATTTTTTCAAATTATTAATGCCGTCAATGACGGTGTTGTGTTTCCGGTGTCCGTGCTTAGTAGCTTAAGAGATAAGTAAACCTAACCAATAATTGTTTTGAGGTTAAAAAATTAACATATATAAATTATTCAAAAGGAGTATTACAAATGAGTTTTTCAAGGAAAACCTAGAATTTGTTTTGAATGTTCCTTCAAAAAAATGGGAAAAAAAATTCTTTACTTCACTGAAAAGCTATTAGTACATCAATCACCATAGAAACGTGATTGTTTCTCTTATTCAGCTGGAAAATCACAATCACTAATTTTAGACGACGACGACAACAATAATCCATAATCATCAAATCATAGCAGAATGAAAAAAAAAATTGACAAAAACATATGAAGATCAATAAACAAGACAAAACAAAACAAAAAATCAACATAGGAAAAAAAACAAAATTGATGATCCAAAAGACATAGAGAGATAGACCCAGTTGCGATCATCAAATAAAAACACAATAAAACGATGAAAAACGAAATTGGGTAAGCGAGAAAACGGAGAAAGGTTGAATTTTGACGGCAAAAAGTACCTGAGAAAGTTAAATTCTAACGCTTTGCTGTTGGGGAAAAAGAGAGATGAAAGAAGTTAGAAAGAGAAAATTTGAGATTGATTTAGATTTTGGATGATGAAATCAGGTTTTTCTAAAAAAGGGTTTTGGAACTTTCGGTGGAATTTCAATTTGCTATGATTGAATTCGCCAAATTAGAGAGAAACTATTGCACTTCTTTTTGGTGTCTCTCTATTTATATTCAAGGAAATTTTCTTCTTGAATACATCTATTTATTTTCTTATTATTCTAAATAAATTAAAAATAATAATTGAGTGAAAAGAGGATGTACTATTAAAGTAAAATATATTTTTATATGAATCTATATGTATCTTAAGGGCTTTTCATACCGTTTATTGAGAAAATCGAGTTGAATCAAACTCTAATATCTAATTTTTTTATAATAAATAATATCTAATTTTTTTTGAAAATTTCTAAATTGTGAAATATGAAGATTATTCTTTTTATACTAATATATTAATCTATATAATAAATAGCCCTAAAATTTAGCATAAAATAAAAGGTATTTCAACCCTTTGTAATTGGCCTTTGTGGCTTGGGTTTGGTGAGTGGGTAGGGTAGTGGAATCTATATCCCTTCCATCCCTAACTTTATGTGTTATTAAAATTCTCAAAGGACAATGACCGAGTCCCCACCCTACACGCTATTGGACCAAATCACCTCTCATATTACTTCATTATATGCAAATTATGCAATGCTACGTCATCAAAATTGTCTATGATAGACATAGTCATTTTAAGTTTCTACCTTTTATTTTTAGACCAAAAAATAAAAATAGTGCTAAAGGATTTTCAAAATTTAGCCAAAAAACAAAATACACCGTTCATCCGTCTCATGTTATAAGTAAATTTTATTTTTTAAATACATTGAATAATTAATGTATATGATTTATATATAGATCATATATATTAATTATTTAATATATCTAAAATGTAAAATTTACTTATAATATAGAAGGGAGTAGTATATCTTAAGACCCACCACCCCAATTTTATCTATCTGATTTTTCTTTTACCACCTCCATAACAGACATGTTGCCATCATAAAAAATGAGAGAATTTGGATCTATGTACTTGTAGGTATAATCAAGAAGTGATCTAAGATGATGAAGATTATGGATAGTCACATACAAATCAATCAGTAGATACTTAGTCTTCTGGATACATGACTTTGATGATGATAACTCTTGAAGCGAATCAAGTACTAAAGATAACTTAAGTGGTTAAAGATGCACAAGGTTGTTGATAAATTTATCCTTCCAATTAAATATAGACATGTGTTTAAGTTTAACACTTTAGTCCAACAAATCTAAAGTGAAGACTCAAACTTTATGATCATTGGTGGTTTAAACGTTCAAACTCTTAGATGATGGTAATCAACATGGAGATACCACAAGCCTCATCAAGAACACTCAAGTTTCTTGTGTGTTCTAAAATCAAAGATGATGACGGCAAATTCGAGAATGGATTGAGACCCAGAGATTAAGCAGGGAGTTGGGTACCAACAGATTCGTCGGTTTGCGGAACTGGTAGACAAGAGTAGAACTTATGATGAGGATAGTCGAGCTCGATCTACTCACTACAAGCAGCTGAGTGAGAAAAAATAGAAAGGACAATATAGAGGGAAATCGTATGTGACTTCTAGTGATAAAGGGAAGCAAAAGGTTTCAGATGGGAAAAAATCAAGTGGGGGAGCGGCTACTGCTCCAAGCAAGTGTTATAAGTGTGGTGAGCAGGGTCATCGTGCTGAGGTTTGTATGGTGTTGAGATGTCATCATTATGGCAAGAAAGGTCATAGAATTACTTACTGCAAGGATGAAGCTCCGACTTGCTTCAACTGTGGAGAGAAAGGTCATATCAGTACCCAATGCCAGTAGCCGAAGAAGACTGTTACTGCTGCTCAGACGAATAAAAGAGTGTTTGCTTTGAGCGGTGCAGAAGAACCCAAGATGGATAACTTGATCAGAGGTACTTGCTTTATTAATGATGTTGAATTGATTGTTACGATTGATATTGGTGCTACCCATTCGTTTATTTCGCTTGAATATGCTACAAGATTGAATTTGAAATTATCCTCTATGGTTGGGAGTATGGTTATCGATACCCCGGCTAATGGTTCTGTGACTACTGCGTTAGTCTATTTGAGTTGCCCTTTGACTATTTATGATAAGAATTTTGTGATGGACTTGATCTGTCTACCTTTGCATTGAATTGATGTTATTCTTGGAATGAACTGGTTGGAGTTTAACTATGTTCATATCGATTGCTACAACAAGACTATGAGGTTCCTAGAATTTGGTGATTGTGGAGAGTTGATGTTTGTATCTGCTAAGCAAGTAGAAGGACTCTTAAATGATGAGGCTCAGATGTTTGCATCATTTCAAGTTGATTATGAAGCGGTGAGCGTGGAGCTACTAATTGTTCGAGAATTTCCAGAAGTGTTTCCAGACGACGTGAGTGACTTACCTCCTGAGTGTGAGGTAGAGTTTACTGTTGATGTAATACCAGGCACTAGTCTTGTGTCGATGGCTCCTTATCGGTTGTCTGCATCTGAGTTAGGAGAATTGAAGAAGTAATTGGAAGAGTTGCTTGAGAAGAAGTTTATTCGACCGAGTGTTTCTCTGTAGGGTGCTCCTGTGTTGTTAACGAGGAAGAAAGACGGTAGCATGAGGTTGTGTGTGGATTATCGACAGTTGAATAAAGTAATGATCAAGAATAACTATCCACTTCTGGGGATTGGCGATCTGATGGATCAATTGGTGGGCGCTTGTGTGTTTAGTAAGATTGATTTGAGGTCTGGTTATCATCAGATTCGCGTTAAGCATGCTGATATTCCGAAGACAGCATTTAGGATAAGGTATGGTCATTATGAATATATGGTGATGTCGTTTGGTGTATCTAATGCACCTGGTGTATTCATGGAGTATATGAATAGGATTTTTCATCCTTATTTGGATCAATTTGTGGTAGTATTCATCGACGATATCTTGATATATTCGAAGTCTGAGGAAGAACATGCACAACATCTAAGAGTTGTATTACAGGTTTTGAGGGACAAGAAGCTTTATGCCAAGTTGTACAAGTGTGAGTTTTGGTTGAAGTAAGTGATTTTCCTTGGCCATGTGATTTATAGTGGAAGGATTGCTGTTGATATGTCTAAAGTTGATGTTGTGTTGTAGTGGGACACTCCGAAGTCTGCTACTGAGATTCAAAGTTTCCTTAGGTTGGATGGCTATTATCGTAGGTTTATAGAAGGTTTTTCGAAGTTGACACTGCCATTGACTCAGTTTACTCGGAAGGTTTAAGCTTATGTGTGGGATGTTGCATGTGAAAGGAGTTTTGTAGAACTCAAGAAGAAGTAGACGACTGCTCCAGTATTTATCTTTCCAAATCTGAGTGAGTCTTTTGTAGTGTATTGTGATGCATCAAAGATGGGTGTTGGTAGCGTACTGATGCATAATGGTCAGGTTGTTGCTTATGCTTCCAGACAACTGAAGGTTCATGAAAGGAATTATCATACGCATGACTTAGAATTGGCAGCGGTGGTGTTTGTGTTGAAAGTTTGGAGACATTATCTGAAATTCTGGCAAGCACACGATGGATGTTATCATGGAAGTTATAACATCCACTATAACACAGACTATTGGAATAATTAAAAAGCTATAAAGGAAAGCAGTAAATAACACAGTAATTGTTCACCCAGTTCAGTGTCAACAAC